TTTGACTCGATGTGGCGTCACTTTGACTCGATGTGGCGTCACTTTGGCTCGATGTGGCCTCACTTTGACTCGATGTGGCGTCACTTTGGCTCGATGTGGCGTCACTTTGACTCGATGTGGCCTCACTTTGACTCGATGTGGCGTCACTTTGGCTCGACACATGGAGGCCAGTCCATTCACACCTGTTTAACACAATGTAACACAGTGGGTGTCTAACCCTAACTTTCCTGACAAATAGTGTGTTATTCCTGCCAAAATGAAGTAAGCAATCCAAAGTAACGTTATCTTCACCCCAACTTTTTGTCTGCAGGGTCTAATTTTTGTGGTGGACAGCAACGACCCTCAGAGGATTAAAGAAGCAGCAGAGAACCTGCACATGCAGGTGAGCCTCCGTTTAGTGATTCTCAAGCTGTTTGCTTCTGGTTGCATTGGCTTATTCCCTGATCTTTGTTTTCTGATGTGCTGCTCAGTTTCTCCACTTAAAACAAGTGTGACCTTTTTTTCACACTGTCTATGGAAGAGGATTAGGGCCACTGTGTTGGGTTCAAAAATGTAGGTTTATAAAAGAGAAACTGAGTCCACACAGAAGAGGGATTTTTTAACTGCTTCTGCAGAAGGAGAGAGCTACGTTCAGCTACATCTACTCTCTGATGGGCTTCCTCAGCAGAAGCCTTTTTATTAGCAGATCATAACACATGGGGTGGGTTACAAAATAGAGTCTTCTTCTGACAAGGCGATTGATCAGGTCATAGGACAAAATGCTCCTCTGATTGAAACACAGAATAGAGTGGTCTCCTGATAACTGTGATTAGCCTTGCACAAATATCAGCAATTTTCTGCCACCGTTGCATGACAGTTTGCAGTAAACAGAGTGAAGCATCTCATTTCTCCAATGTTCCATATGCACACTTTAACTTTATAATCATCATTGAATAAACCTAACACACTGAAAAAAAAATGTAACTGATTTTTAAATTTTATTTCAGTTTGATATGGGGAAAAAGTCAGAATTCCGACTTTTTTCTCAGAATTCTGACATTTTTCTTAGAATTCTGACTTTTTTCCCCAGAATTCTGACTTTAATCTCAAAATTCTGACTTTAATCTCAGAATTCTGACTTTAATCTCAGAATTCTGACCTTTTTCTCAGAATTCTGCCAGCTAACAAACATGTTAGCATCAAGCCATAGCCATGTCCATTTTAGAGACTAGCTCTCTTGTTTTAATGACCTTCTGCTCAGAATTTCCTCAGAATTCTGAGAAAAAAGTCAGAATTCTGACTTTTTTCCCATATTAACCTATAATAAAATTTAAAAATCTGTTAACTTTTTTCCCCCAGGGGCCCTAATCCTCTTCTGTACACTGTCAGCCCTTACATGAGGCACAGATTTTAAGTAAAAACTAGTTAAGCTTTAATTTGTTCATCTTGACATTACTGCCACCTACTGGCCATGGATAGAAACGCCACCCAGTCACTGTGTTTTCTGTACCAGGGTTGTGTTCCTGCAGCTGCTGGTCCGCATATGGACCCCAGTAACTTTGGCAATATATACTAAAAGATAATGTATCTAAAAAATGTCAAATAGTTTAAAAAACAGCTTATTTTTATTTTTTAATGCTCCAGCTTTACAGGGAAAAACATCTTTTTAATTAAAGCACAGTATAAATTGTGTTTAAAATAAAAATGAAATAAGTTTTAATTAAGAAATGTAAGCATTTTCTTTATAGCTGGTATAAAACTGCTGATTTATTTGTGGCTGTAAAGTGAAAGTAAAGAGATGAAGCTCAGGTTCTGAAAAGGTTTTTGCTCTTTGGCCACGACTGAGATTTAGTTTTTCTAACTCCTGATAAATCCTGTTTCCAAACTTCCCAGACCTGTCTGGTTGGACTTTATGCAGAATCCTGTGATGTCTGTTGGTATTCTGTTCTGAAGCATGGCGGGGGCAGCATCATGATATGGGATTACAACTTTTCTTGCAGCAGGGAAGCTGGTTCTGTTATAAAATAGGAACGAAAAAAAAAACTACTTAAATATAAATTTGCTGAACTTGAAATAAGTGATCACATGAATTCTATTCAGTTAATTTCTGTCGCTCCAATTACCAACATGCCATCTCAGATCATTTTATGGATCCACATCATCAGATCTATCAATCGACCCTACAAGAAACAGGAGATGTTGACTCTTCAGCAATCCCTCAGACTGAGCATTTTTGTAGTGACAGGAAAAAAAAATCCCTTTTAACGGGAAGAAACCTCCAGAAGAGGCAGGCTCAGCTTGAGCGCTGAGGTTGACTGGGGTTCAAGGAGACAGAAGCAGACGTAGAAAATGAACACAGAAGTTCTGATCTATAGACACCTGAGAGAAAGGTCAAAGGCCAATGGCTGCTGTAGCTTCTGACTTTAATCAGCAATTTGTGTTTCTGCAGTTGGACGAGGACCAACTGGCTGGAGTCCCTGTACTCATCTTTGCCAACAAACAGGATTTGCCACAAGCCATGTCGGTCAGTGACATCACAGAGGCTCTGAACCTATCAGAAGTGCAGCAACCGGTAGGTACTTCCTGTGCTTAGATGATCGTTTTGGGAGAACAGAATGACCGTTGTCCTGCTCTCTGTCCTTCCAGTGGTTTGTNGTATATTGACGAAAATCCCACTTTTCATGCAGTGTGTTTTTCCCATTGGTCCATCCCACAGCATGAGATCTCCAATGGTGCATATTTTCTGTGGAGCTAGCTGGCCCTCTTTGTGGCTTACAAGGAGATGGATATCTTTTGGCCTTACCAGTTCACTGAGTGGAATGCTTGGAAAGAACTTTTGCAGCTTCTTTGAAGACATGTTGGTGGGTGTCAGCAATACTGTCTAGGGTATAACAAACAAGGTGATGAGGCTTGAAAGTGTCACTTGAGCTGTGGACAGATTTTTAGGAGGTATGACTTTGTTTTGAAGCAGACTATCATGCCTCCTACACCATGAACCACAAGCGTGATGTCTTTACTCCTGAAATTTAGTCGACCTGCTCCATCATGAGTGACATTATTTATATCAGAAGCCAGATCAATCAGTGTCCCAATTTTTTGTCCATTATTAGCTTCATCATGTGTGGTGTGACCTGCATCACTTCCAGAATTACCATTATGACAGGCCCCTCTGTTAGCCCATTTTCTGTTAGAAGACTTGAGTGACTTTTGTTTTCGAATATATTTATTGTGAAACATTTCTTTCAAGGCAATTGATCTAACATTTACATGTTTCTTTCTTAGAAAAAGTCTGACACATTAACAAAAAAAAGGCATAGTGTCATGTTTGGCTTGAAGTGTTTGGCCCACATGCAGAATACACTCGGAAACAGGCAGCTCTTTTAAAGTTTTATTGAAAGCTTTAACGAAGGGGAATCTGCAACAGCTGACCGGAGCTTAGCACAGGGAGCCGGAGCCTGGAAATGTCTAAGGGAATGAGAAGGGCAGTTAACCACGGACGGAGCAGAAAAGAATGTACAGTTGGACGAATGCTTACATCAGAGCGGGGAAAGCCGAACCGGGGAGGAGGCGGGTTGGACTCTATGCTTGCCTGAAGGTGTAGAAGGCGATCGTCCAGGTGACCAGAGAGCTGAAGCCAGCGAGGGTCCGAACAGCACCTGGAAAATCCAGGGATCCAGAACAGTGGAAGGAACCTGGTGGATGTCCGTGAGGGTGATGGGTCCAGAGGGGGGAACCGACTCGGAAGGAACTGGGGGGACCACTCAGAGGAATCCACCACAAGAGGGATAACGAGAACTAGAGAGGAAGGATCAGAACACGAGGGGGTACCTGGGAGAAACAAAGGTAAGATTAGTTACTCAAAGAACTTCGAAGGCTAGAGACCGTGGTAGGTTTGCATACCACTACTGTAACACTCAGGCATCCTTCTGCTGTCTGAGCGCAGTTCTTATAGAGTGCCCCGGTGCTGCGGAAGCACCTGCAGGTGTGCGAGCGCCACTCAGTCAACCTGGAACACCTGTGGAGAAGGCAGAGGCAGCAGTGCCAGCAGAGTCCTGACACATAGTGACATCTATAATAAAACATTAAAGATAGTAAAGACATAATAAACAATAACATTAACACAATAATAGTAACAGTACCGAAAATAAAAAACAACAAAACAGTATCCCGCTGTAAAGAAATTAAGTATCAAATACAAGAGCTACAGGACCCCATCCCACCCCACCACCCCACCCTCCCCCAGGAGTGCTATACTGTGGTCACATTAGTCAGTTATCAAATGAAGGAAAGAGACCAACGGCTCCCAAGTTTTTTCAAACTCCCTCAGTTTTTCTTTTAATTCAGACAATTACAAGGTTGGCTTTCTATCACCTGAAGAACATTTCCAGGATTAAAGGACTAATGTCTCAACATGATATGAAAAAACTAACCCATGCTTTTATTTTTAGTCGAATTGATTACTGCAACAGTGTTTTCACAGGTCTGCCTAAAAAGTGGATCAGACAGCTGCAGCTGATCCTCACTAAGACTAAGAAAGTAGAGCACATCACCCCAGTTCTAAAATCCTTCCACTGGCTCCCTGTATCTCAGAGAATAGACTTTAAAATACTTCTGTTAGTCTATAAATCTCTGAATGGCTTAGCTCCTAAATACATCACA